ACACACCAAACACTACATATCTCTGATAGTATCCTGTTATCTTGTTGCTTCTGTTCTTCGAATACCCCGTGGAATTATAATTTTAGCTACGATTGTGTGCAGCTCTTCCCACTTACATCCGAATGTAATCATCGTCTCGCCTCGAGTTAGTCGGTTGTTTCCCCTTCCACATTACTGGGGGGGGGGGAATTCCCTTTTTTATGCGATGAATTTGCTGTTATATTTACATCGAAGCACCTGCACAGGTCAGGCAGGACGCGAGACACCGGATTGATGCGTTTGAATGTTTTATTCGGTTTGCGCCTTGCGATAATACAAAAAACCGTGCGTCTCAAGGTCAAATTTTGAGGGTCAATTTTCACGTTTCTTTGGTTATATTTTTAATCCCTTCATGGTTCATTTGTTTCACGTGGGCAGTTTGTAGCCACATAAATTTTCAATTTATTTAAGATAGAAGTTAGTGTCTATCGGTATATTTACTTTTCACTATGTGAAATAGAGCTGCTGTTTGGAATACTTGTATCAACTAGAATAAAAATCCTCATGAAACGGTGTACATTTTTTTTTATAAAGAACGAACTTACGTGCTACTCTGTACCAAATATTTTCTCATTCTGAGTTGTCACTTTTGAACTGCTGCAAAGTGTATCGTGGCAATCGATGTGGCGCCAATTTAAATTATGAACATCGTAGTGGGAGATAACGTTAGGAATAAGTGCTCTTCACCCACTGCTATCGATGTGCGAGTATGATATTGGAAACTGAAACATTTTTCTAAATCAAGGGTTTTGTCCCAAGAAGAGTTTGTTGCATACCTACAGTCGATTTCCTGCTATGTCACATTCCTCCGGAATTCGAAAATTTGGTCAAATTCCAGAAAATGCGAACTCGGATGTTACTCACTGGTATATACTTTTAGGTAGCAGTGTGACAGTTTGACTGCGCCTATTGTGACAAAATAACCAGAATCGTTAAAAAGCAAGTTGTTTGCGGTACTTTTCGCCTTCATTTATTACTATCTACTTTAATTGATTAAAGCAGGAAATAAATATACGGCCTCATTCAGTCTTTTTGAATAAAAGAAAAATAAATCTTTTATGATTCCCTTAGCCTAACATTAGAACAGTATACTCGGTGTTCAGTCCTTCAGTTTCATGCGTCTATCTACGAAGAAACTCCGTATTTTGAGGCCATTTTCTAGACCAGTACCGAATTCGATTTCTGAATAATGTCCCATTCCATTCTCAAATGTAAAGATGGCCACATAATTGTTTACAACACAGAGTCCTGCGTGATGTGCAACGGTTTGGCTATAATAACGTCACAAAAATAGAGTACAGTTGACTAGATCACAGAACAAGATTTAACGCTGTATTCTTTGGCAAAACAATATTGAAAAAAGTTCATATTCGAAGACAAGCGGAACATCTGTTGCCGAGTACGTGTAATACATTGAATTGTTTTGCATACCCCAAGCGCTCATTGTTCCTTCTGCAATCTGTTCATTTTCTTTTCTGGTTGAAATTGTGTGTACCTGAGTGTCTATAGACTTCTGTTCGTCCATTGTTGTTGT